GGAAGAGACGGGCTTGGGAGGAAGATAGATGGATGGCTACCCCTTGGTTCTTTAGGGTGGGATGTATGGGAGGCTAGCTTGCAGAGATCTCTGAAGCTCAGCAGCTGTGGGGAGCAGTTAAGTGCAAATCAGCCTTAGGAGTTCTGTTGAGCCTAAAACTTTGGGTCCGGTAGTTCTTTTGGCAAGGGTGATGTTCCCGGTGTGACTGGTGCTCCGTTAATAATCCTTTACCATTCTCAGGAGCTCATCTTGGGGTCCCCTTTTCTAACATCAGAGTTGGAGGCTGAACTGTATTAGGATGATTGTGCAAAGTGCAAACTGATGAAACCTCTCGGCTTTTCCAGGTACATTACGCAACTCTTCCTTCTCTCAAATGTTGTGGCGCTCTGTGCAAGTGGGAAAGATCTGAGTCCCCGTGATGCTTTTTGACTCCAGAGATAATTACTTGAGGTAGCTATCCTGACGATGGCTCACATGGGAGCCCTGCCTTGCAGTGCAGAGCTGTCTCTAACCATCCTGTCATGATGATTATCCAACCTCTGGAATTATAACAATAGATTTTACCAAGTTAGAGCATAATTGCTCCACCAGTTCGTATGTGAGCACAGTTGAAACAACTCTGATCTTTCAAATGATGTCGGGCTTTTATTATTCATCTTCTGTAACAGTGGCTCTGAACAGCCCTCCTCCCTGCCCCCTTTAATCACAGCGAGGCTTTGATTTGTTGAAGCAATTCACCTGTTAGAGACAAAAGGGTTGGAGTTGGGTGGAGAAAGAGTGCAGACCTGTGATGTTAAATCCCAGCTCTACCACCTACAAGACTCGCGGCCTGGAGAGAGTTTCTAACCTCTCTAAGATAGCTTCCTCATCTGAAAATACCCTTCTGCATGAGTCACTGTATTAGAAATGAACATGAAGCACCTAACTTATAGAAAATCAATTAAACTGTATTCTGTCACTCCATCGTCATCACCACCACCATCATCATCACCACCATCATCACCACCATCAATTATCTGGCTTCAAAGACTGGAGTTTGGGGTCTTTGGGTTTGGCTGTGTTCATTTGACATGTGAATTTGTTTGGAGTTGATCATCAGGGATGTGCTTTTTCACTAAATTAAGGATGGAGCTTTGCAAGAAATGCCTGGGCACCGTTTTGTGCTGAGCAAGTCCTAATGAGTTGCCTTCGCCTCTCTGTGACCTTAGCATTTAGTGTGCATTTGAGTGTGATTCCCAACTTCCTTGTCTCCTCTAGTCTAAATGTAAAAGAGCTGGAATAGCCTGGGACTTAGCATCTTTAGAAGTATGTTTGGTGATTTTGAGGCAAGTGGTTTATGGACTGTTTTATATTTCCCTCTTCCCCTAATTGAGAAATGCATGTATCTATGGCTTATAAGCAGCAGCAAAACCTTTGCTTCTGGATGGCCCAGCTCCGATGGCCACACCAACTGAGCAGGCCTGATTTGCTTGGGAAGGAGAGAAGTGACCACTGCTGAGCCCTTGACCATCTCAGTGTCCCGGCTTGAGTGTCTCTACCCCCACCTCCTCAATGTCACCTATATCTTTGCATCTAGCGTCAGTCACCCGCCATCTGACTGTATCTTAGTGAGCTAAGGCTGATGTCTGCTGGGCACTAGCTCATCCAGGAGTCCCTGGAATGATCAATGAGCCAGGTAGAGGGACAGCCAGGCAGCAGGGCCCTCCTCTGAGCGCCATGAATCAGCTGCCGCTGCCCAGGCCCAGTCCCTTCTCTTTGGAGCAGGAGGCATTGAGCTAAGCACAGTCAGGCTGACTCGTATCCGGCTAATGGCTTTTCTGTGTCATGCATTGTCCTTGATCCTGTATATTTTTCATATGTGAGTGGGTTGGAGCTCCTGAAGACCATTCAGTGGTAAACATGTCCCTTCTGCCAAATCTCCCACTAAAGTCTTCGACAGAATTTTGGTTTAGGGGATAACTACTCCAGAAGCAGTTACTCCCTTAAAAAAAAATTAAGGCAAAAAATCACATAACATAAAGTTAATCATTTTAAAGTCAATTTAGTGGCATTTAATCTATAACAATGTGCAGTCACCACTTCCATCCAGATCCAAAATACTTTCATCATCCTAAAAGGAACCTCATCCCATACCCACTGTATTAGTTTGCTTGGGCTGCTGTAACAAAGCACCACAACTGGGTGGCTTCAACCAGAATCTTACCATCTCACAGTTGTGGATGCTGGCAGTCCAAGATCAAGGTGTCAGCAGGTAAGGTGGGTTCCGAGCAGATGGCCGTCTTCTCCCTGCAGTGATTCGCCTCATCTTTCTATGTGTGTCTGTGTTCAACTTACCCTTTTGTATAAGGACATGAGTCCCATTGGATTAGTGCCTACTTTGACGTCCTCATTCCTTTTTTAGCTGAATAATATTCCACTGTAGTTTAATACTTCTTTTTGGAACACCAAGTACATAGCAATGAAATCTTAGCTCCAGTGAAATCTTAGCTCCCTGAGCAGTGAATTATTCTGTTTTAGGCTTGTGTGCCCCTCTGCATAAGGTAGACTGTTGATCTCGTGGGTATAGCACACAGATCTTACTCTGGAAGCTTTTTCTTACTGTCTTCCTCCTCGAAAGAGTGTTAAGTCTTTGTGAGCCTAAGTAAGAGTAAGGACTTATTAAGGGGAAGCCAAGTCATGTTTCTGATCCCAGAAATTGTTTTAAAAATAGATTTTACCTTTGATTTTTTTTTTTCTCTCTCTCCTCTTCCTGCTTTTATCCTCACAGCTCTCTCTCATCCCAAGCACCCATACTAGTACACTCATGTTAAAAGTATTTTAAAAGAAGAGGGTAAAGGGGGAAAGAGGGTAAATGGTGACGAGAGGAGACTTGACCTGGGGTAGTGAACACACAATATACTATACAAATGATGTATTATAGAATTGTACACTTGATGCCGAACCGATTTTGGCTCAGTGGATAGAGCGTTGGCCTGCGGACTGAAAGGTCCCAGGTTCGATTCCGGTCAAGGGTATGTACCTTGGTTGTGGGCACATCCCCAATAGGGGGTGTGCAGGAGGCAGCTGATCAATGTTTCTAACTCTCTATCCCTCTCCCTTCCTCTCTGTAAAAAAATCAATAAAATATATATTTTTAAGAAAAGAATTGTACACTTGAAACCCCATGTAATTTTATTAACCAATGTCCACTGCAACAAATTCACTAAAAAAAAGTGTTTTTTTTTTTAATGACAATGATTTCTACACTTTCACAAAGAATGTCTACTGAAAAAAAATAAAACACAAAGGCCATACCTGCCCCAAACAATACATGTTGACTAGACATAGAATAACAATTTAATTATAGCCAAAACAGAAGTCACCTTTGTCTATCAATGCAGACATTATAAAGCAAAACATTTGTCCACCATATAACTAGCAGTGTCACAGTATCTTCCATTGTTTGTTTTATGACTTTAAAAAATATTCTTTTTAAAGGGCATTTTAAATGCCGACCATCCTAGGAAGGGGCGTGGCATAGACAGGGAGCACTACCCTCTGAGAAGACCCAGCTGCCTTCTGCTCTCATTGTCATGGTTACTGGGCCTGGTCCCTCGGGCTGGCATCAGACCAGGGCCTTTCAGATTCTCTTCACACTCCCCTCCCTGCACCAGCCTCAGAGTGAGAGCGGGGTCTCTCAGCTTTGGAACCGATTGCACTGCTGACTTGTACATCTCACCTGCCTCCATAATTTAAAATCTCTTTTTCTCATGCATGTAGCCAGGAGACCTGCATCCTTGCTGGCCTGGGATCAACCCAGAACTGTCACTAGCTTGCTGCAGACACAGGACCCTTTCCCCCATCCCATCCCAACAACTGTGTGTTGTTTCACCCCAAAGGACCACAGCAGGTGGCATTGTCTTGTTTCCTGACTCTTAATTTCCTCCTTCCTCTCTATCTCTTTTTCTCTATTTTTAAAAATATATCGTCATTGATTTCAGAGAGGAAGGGAAAGGGAGAGAGAAACATCAATGACAAGAGAGAATCATAGATCGGCTGCCTATCGCATGTCCCCCACTGGGGATCAAGCCTGCAACCCAACCTTGTGCCCTGACTGGGAAATCGAACCGTGACCTCCTGGTTCATAGGTCGATGCTTAACCCCTGAACCATGCCGGCCAGGCTCTATCTTTTTTTTTCTTCATTAAATTAGTCTTGCCACCCTGGAAGTTCACTGGGTAAAGAAATGCCTGCCGGCCACAGGATTTTCAGAGAGCCAGGAAAGTGAGGGAACAGCTTGAAAAAAAGGACAGAAGAGAAAGTGTCCATATTCTGTGTTATTCCATATTATCATCTTCGTGTAAGCACAGGTGGCTTCTGGAAGGCTCCACACTGTTAATGGAATTGGATATAAGTAGTTAAAGATGTAATTTTCCTCATTGGGGAGCAGCCTTTAGAACACAGGTTTCCCTCTGGGGGGCCTGGGCATCTGGAGTTTTTAAGAGCTTCCAGGTGCTTCTAATGTCCAGCCACCTTTGAGAACTGCTGTTCCCGGGGCAGAGCCCTCCAGGAGAGTTTGAACCCTTGAGAGGAGGTGATGGAGGAGACAGGTGACATCTAATCCTCTTGTGCCCAGCAATGCAGTTAATTAGGCAAAAAGAAAGGACAGACGGAACACACTCTGGCCTGTATTTTGCTGATAAAAATAGGACTTTAGTTCCACTTAACCCTGCAGGGCCCGATGGGAAGGGAGATTCCCACGCCCTCGCCTCCCTGCTGCTACCCGTGCCTTGGTGGGCTGCCAACCCCAAGGTGATTGCCAACATGATGCAAACTGTTCACAGGAACATGTCGTTTCTGCCTTCTGCTCACCACTTGCTCTCCTCACTCCCCAGGAGAAGGAACACCAGGCCATGTGTCTGCTCTCTTTCTTGAGCAGAAAGTGCTGTTAGCTGTTTGATGGGGGAGGGGGAGTGTTTTCGAAGGGCGCATGGGGCTGACCTTCGTCTCTGTGTTTTGCAGTACAAAATCGGACAGCTGTACATGATCAGCAAGCACAGCCATGAGCAGAGTGACCGAGGGGAAGGGGTAGAAGTCGTCCAGAATGAGCCCTTTGAAGACCCTCACCATGGCAACGGACAGTTCACAGAGAAGCGTGTGTATCTCAACAGGTGAGTGGTGGCCGCTGGTGTCCTACCTCTGGGCCCTCACCACCCAGGAGCCCCTCTCACCTGACCCCACAGCACCTGAGGTCGAGGTGGGGTGGGATAAAAAGGCAGCTTCAAAGTCATTAGGTCAGCCTTCTGCATCCACCAGGGTAGTTGCTTCCAATAACAGAATCCCCTGTGTTCTGCAAAATAGTTCTCAACTGCATTTCATCAAGAGGAGCTTTCCTTTTACCTTTGCCATGCGTTAAGGGACGGGTTAGGTTGAAATCTGATCTTAAGGATTAAAGGACTGTGTCTTCTCCTTTGGTTCAGTGTTAGCAGTAGGAGTACTTGGCTTTGCCTGCAAGGTGGTGTAGAGAAGCGTTGAAGATAGCCTTGTGCCATCGGGGTTGCAATTCCCTTGCAGACCACTCAGGTATCTGCAAGGGAATTGACCAAACGAATGGTCCCCTGTGACCAGTGTGTGTTATGCAGTGCTAAGGTGGTTTCCATTTCCTAGGTGGACCTATCTTTCCCGAGGTGGAGGTGGTTGGTCACCTCTGCTTCAGACGGGAAAAGAGTTGAGGATGATAAAGCAGTACTAATCAGGACTACCATTTCTGCTTTGCAAAATATAGTCTTTAGTCTCTTGCTATTTTCTTATCACTCGTGGCATAATTGATCATCAGTGCCTGTTTGATTTTCTCCCCATGCTACACCTCCACTCCAGCCCATTTTCTTCCTTTCCCTTCTTCCCTGGGTCAGAAATTTGTACTCACAGGCCATATGGAATATATTTTATGGAAAGTAAGTGTCGACTCTAGTGAACCAGTATGTACCAGTCTGGGCCTTGTTGCCATTTCCATGAGTACTCTTTATCCCATGAATACTCTCTGTCCCCACATGTGATTATTCAGAAAACATTTCTGATACAATAGCTGGATGTTGCCCCCGGTTTATTCCCTGACCCTTTGTCCGTGCTTTGACCATCGTTCAAGCCGAATTTGGATCCCACATGGCCTCCACGATCCAACAGGCTGATGTCAACGAAGAAGGAGAGTTTGGGTCCTGTCACTAGGTGTGTGAAAATCTCTCCGTGAAGCCTTGGGCTGCTTAAAACAAGTGTTCTTTTTTTGTTTTGTTTTTGTTGTTAATTCTCACCCAAGGATATTTTTAAAAAATATTTTTTATTGCTTTCAGAGAGGAAAGGAAAGGGAGAGAGATAGGAACATCAGTGATGAGAGAGAATCATGCTAGGCTTCCCCCTGCACACCCTCTATTGGGGATCAAGCCTACAATCCAGGCCAGGAATCGAAGTATAACCTACTGTGTTATCGATCACTGGTATTTTTCCATTGATTTTTAAAGAGTAGAAGGGAAGAGGAGAGACAGAGAGAAACATTGATGTGAGAGTGAGATTCATTCATCGCCTCCCACATGAAGATTGAGCCTGCAACCAAGGCACATGCCCTTGACTGGAATCAAACCTGGCACCCTTTAGTCCACAGGCCAATGTTCTATTCACCGAGCCAAACTGGCTAGAGTTAAACCAACGTGTTTTAATCTGCTTGGAGATGCAATCCCAGGGATTTCCAAGTCATGGTGAAATGCAAATTAGACTGGTCCCATTCATCTTGGAGCTGTGAATTCCCAGAGTTTGGAACCAGTTCAGCCTCCAGCCAGCTGTTGATTGCAGGAGTAGCTGAGCCCCGAGTTTCCCCTGCGGATGGCTTCCTTACAGAGAAAGGTTTCTAAACATGCTGCTTTGGCTTGTTAGTGCGGACGATATAATTCAAATGTGGAGCCCAGATTATCTCTGCAGAGCAAAGAGAAGTGAGGGAGATGTAAGAAAACAGGTACAGTTATTGCCTGGGGGATGTTCTGTATTGACCAAATTCAAGAAGAAATTTTAGAAAACTTGATGACTTTTACTGAAACAGAACAAGAAGTGTCCAGCTGTCTTTGTCATGGCTGTTTTCTCTATCAAAAATATGGTATTTATTTTAAAGGAGAATAATAAACAGCAGTAAGAGGGAAATTTGTTATAAATAGAATATCTGGATTTCCAGGAATAGGTACCACAAAGATTAATGTGGACCTTCCCCCCACCTCGTATGACAAACACAGGATGAAATATAACAATATGAAGTGGAGTTCCAAACAAAGAAAGGGAAATCCTCAGGTACGAGAAATAAAGAGGAAACTCAAACCAGAACGGAAAGCAGATGAGCTAATGCTAAGGAAGCCAGAGGCGGCCAGACTAAGTGAGGCCTGACATCTGAGAGATGCCACACCCACAGGGGACAGATGTGTGGCCTTGGCTCATGCACATGGGGAGGTGGAACTGAGACTTGTGCATAAAAATAATTTTTGAGCCTGGGTGATGTGACTCAGTGATTGAGCAGTGACCTATGAACTAGGAGATCACATTTCCATTCCCAATTAGGGCACATGCTGGGATTTCAGGCTTGATCCCCAGTGTGGGGTCTGCAGGAGGCAGTCAATCAATGAGTCTCCCTTCATTGATGTTTCTAGCTCTCTCTCCCTCTCCTTTTCTCTCTGAAATAAAAAAATAAAAAAAATGGTTTTTGACAATAAAAAATAGAAAGATTACAGAGACTCATACTAAAAAAACTACTAAAGGATGTACTTTAAGTAAAAGGAAATTGAATCCAAGAAGGAAGGGGGGAGGGTCTAGAAGCAATAATAAACAAGAAGTTAATAAACATCTGGGAAAATTTTAATGAGCATAGAATGTTTAAAAAATATTAATGAGCCGAAACCGGTTTGGCTCAATGGATAGAGCGTCAGCTTGGGGACTGAAGAGTCCCGGGTTCGATTCCCGTCAAGGGCATGTACCTTGGTTGCGGGCATATCCCCAGTGGGGGGCGTGCAAGAGGCAGCTGATCGATGACTCTCTCTCATCGATGTTACTAACTGTATCTCTCTCCCTTCCTCTCTGTACAAAATCAATAAAATATATTTTAAAAAATATTAATGAGTAATTGTGGGTATGTTCATGGAATTTAAATAATAGACAGTAATAGCAGAAGATGAGAGCCTAGTAATTATAGTAGAAACACTCTTAAGTTGGAAATATTATTTAGGAAGAAAGAGGGAATTGTTGATTTGTTTAAACTTTTTAAAGGCAACTGTGCATATTCAAAATGTAAAGGTAACCTCTGAAGAAGCAGGTATATACTTGGAATTATATAACTTCCAAAAGAAAACTTGATCAATTCAAGAAAAGGCAGAGGAAGAACAAAGAGAATCCTGTAAAAAGCATAAGTAGAAAACAAATTTTGATGATAAGATAAATAAAAATATATCAGTGGTCACAGTAAAGGTATGTGAGTTAAATTCTAAACTTCAACCTAGAGCAACAAATATATGGCAACACTGACAATATCATAAGTAGCCTATAGTTATAATGGGGGATTTTAGCATAATATCAGTTTAACAGACTGAGACACACCGAGAGGATATAAACAACAGAATGAAAAGCTTGATCCAGTAGACATTACTACATCCTGGAACCAGTATGCTTTTCAAACACACACAAAAATGTACAAAACCTGACTACAAACCAGGCCAGAAAGCTATCTCAACAAATACCAGAAAATCACTATCATGGAGATCCTGTGGGCTGATTACAAAAATAAATTGATAACAAGAACAAAAAAAGAGGTTTTTCATCATTTAGAAAATGTAAGCATTGTCAAATAATTTATGGTTGAAATATCAGATACCTGCCTTCCCAACCACCTTTGCAGTAATGGGAGGCCAAACCACCTTGTTTCAGCCAATAAGATGTAAAGATTTTTCCTTCTGATAAAAAGGAAAATGTTCAAGAGAGATCTGCTTCTTGGGAAGGGGATGAAATGGATGATGACAGTTGGAAAGAAGTAAGTAGTATCTACCATGTGAACCTTAACATCAAAGCTGAACAGTATAGTATAAAAAGGATACTTACAGACCCATTTAAGTTAAGATGTGAAAATCCTATATAAACCATTACCAAATCATATACCTCAGAATCTATCTACTAATAGAGGGATATGCAAATTAGCCAATGTGCTGTAACATCACGACCAAATAGCAGGGACCTGAGGCTGCATGGCACCTGGCCTGGGCGAGGGACCTCAGGCTGCACCCCTGGCCCGGTGGGGCTTGACAGGGGACCTCAGGCCACACACACACCACTGCCCCAGTTCCGGGCTGGGGGACCTGAGGCTGCTCCCCGTCCCAGAGGGACTTGATGGGAGTGGGGCCGGCCGGGTCTGGGTCTCCTGCATTTTCGAAGTGGGTGGTGGGTGGGGACTTGACTCTAGGTCCCACCTCATGCCCAGACTCTGACAGAAGGGAGATTTTCATATACATTTTACTAATTTTCTTCCATCTCTGAAACTTTTATTATAGAAAAAGGACAAATAGCAATATTAAAATATCTCCTCTAATTATTTCCTTTTTAATGTGTATGAATTTTGTGTGCCAGGCCACTAGTGATTTATAACAATAAATCATGACTTAAATTTATTCTTGACTGTTAACACCAATATGAGAATTCAGCAAGATTCTTGGATATAAATTCTTGGATAGCAGAAACCACTAGCATTATTATTATTATATAGCAGGAACAATAAATGGGAAAAACTAACTTTTAAAATTTCTAGTTATAATAGAGATAGAAAGCTGAAGGTACCCAGTAACAAATCCACAAGATATACAAAAACTTTTTGGAAAAAATATGAAATGTTAGTCGAGGACATTTAAAAACCCCAGACAAAAGGTAGTATTCATGGGTGAGAAATGCTATATTGTGAAGTTGCTATCAATTCCCAAATCAATCATACATTTAATGCAAGTCTAATTAAAATGGCAACAAGGTTGTTTTTATTTTTTTTATTATTTTTTTTATTTTTATTTTTTTTATTTTTAAAATATTTTTATTGATTTTAGAAAGAGGAAGGGAAAGGGATAGATAGAAACATCAATCAGCTGCCTTTTGCACACCCCCCTACTGG